GCTCGTGAAAGCAAAACAACAAACTCAAACGCGTCTTCGTTCAATGTTGTCAACTAATATCCGGATTAATTTTCGGCAAATTTTCCTCAATTCTCCGGACAGATTTTCATAAAAATTTGAAAAACCCGGAATTCCGGGAAAATCCGGAGGACTTTCATCTCTGTTTAAAACAGGGATTTACTTTTCAACCACCCTGTGTGTGACATACAAGTACATGTAAAGTCCTTCTATTTTATTTTCATGCATTTGGTGAGGAATAATTTAGTCCTCTTTTTGCTGTGGATTTTCTTGCAAATCCATGTTCAATGGAGCCAAATAAATCCTTTATTGCGAATCAATTTGAGTGTCATGACTACTGTTTTGGATGAAGCAGCTAATGTACCAGAAACCTTTCCCAGGTCATGCTTCTAGGTCGTTTGTAAATATCTAAGGGCGGTATTTGAGCAAGACTCGCCCCTGCCGCTGAGGTCGGTGGGTCGGGAAAGTCCCAACTATCCGCTAAACTAATCCAGTTATGTGGTCCTGCTTAAAATGTTTTGTTTTGCATTGAATGCCTTTTCTTCAGGGCAGACAGTAGTGGAGGTCAAGAAGTGCACAAGAGACTCACCCCAAAGTGCGATTCGAAGGCGGTGCCTGTGTGATAACGGAGGTGGGCGATGGCATGGTGGGCTGAAGGGCATCAAAGCCCAAGTGCAACGGAAGGGCACCTGGACGCACAATGGTAGGTGTCGGGGCTGAGCTCCTGGGTGGCATGTCCTGAAACAAGATCATCGTAATGTCATTTGCATGCACTCTTTGTTTGCAATCGCACAGCTTGTGTCTTACCTTCACCTTGTCCGAGGGCTCTGTTCGGATCTCTGGTGTTGGAGAGATGGAGTCTGGACTGTCTGGTGGCGAGGAGTCAACCTCAACTGGTGTCTCCTCCTTCACCTTTACATCCGATGGCGTCTGTAGGCTCATGTCCAATGCCACTGAAGAGGGAGCAGGGGTCTGAGAAGGAGAGAAGCATTGTAAATACCGCTCATCGCATGAGCCAACCCAACACTGCTTGTTGGTCGAACTGAATTTTGTCATCCTAAACTGAACATTTCCAAAAAGACAGTGGCAGACCCACATTCATTGTGTTTTCAAAGTCAAGTCCACAGCCGAGATACTCAAAGTACAACGGTGGGTAATTATGACTCGATGAAAAAAAAAAAGAAAAACATTTGAAATACCAAAAATCCTCTTCCACTTGTGTCAATCTAATCTGTAGATACTACTTTTGGGGTGCAAACAGAGCTCACACGAAAGAAAAAAAAAAAATCCAAGTATTACTGCCCAATTGAGAGTTATACTTGGAATTTTTTCTCCTGTGTTTTCATACGGCTGTGTGAATATATACAAACATATGAAACAAAATCCATCTTACGGAGTTCTTCGTTCGCTTGTTGTCATTGTCATCTTGTTCGAAGGAGTTGGCCAGATCATTGAACAAACCGACTTCCTCACAGTTCTTTAGGAAGCGAGTGGGAGTGGGCGTCTGATCTGGAAAAAAAATGACAAATACCCATAGCGCCACTGAGCAGCTTTTTATTCATTTGTATGAAGTACTCGAAAAAGTGAATTAATTGAATATGCCGATGAATCGCATAATTGGGAAAAGGGCTGCACAATATTTTGGAAAAAAAAAAACATTACTGCAATAACGACCAATGGAATATGCTTTTCGCAGACATGCAGTACATTTCATATGGATATGATATGCTGTTATCTGAATTTGACCAGTCCAATGCAACCTTCAATGGGAATTGTCATTCAAAAAGTGAACACTATATAGGGGTATTGCAATTTATTAACTAACAGTACATTGAGCTTGCATGAAGAAAAAAATATTTTTCATGCGATTATAAAACTGTCATTCCTTGAGGAACATGTTAAATATCGCCAAAATATCAATCCCGCTCTATTCGACACCCATATTGCACAGCACGTTTTTCCGATGCCGTGCAGCCCCAATCGGTACCTGCGATGATGACAGAGTCCGTCCTGGGTGCAAACTTTAGTGTCATCTCATGCTTGTGTTTGTGGACAGCCAAGTGGTCCTCATTGGTAAATCTCTGGTGAAGTGAAAGAGGAGAGAGGAAAGGGAAAAAGGATAAAGTGAACATACTGTAGGCTCAGGGCTCTCATATTGTCTCTTGGAAATGTTGCCCAACAGGTGTTCTTAGTCTGTGTGCCACAATCCATTGTTTTGCTAGTCGACTAGTCACTGATAGTAGTTGTGATTAGTCGACTAATCTTATCATATGTAAATCGCAGAATATCAAACCAGCAAGCAGCTACACTTATATAACACAGGTTATAGCTTGAATTCTTTAAGGCATGTGCAAATTACAAATATAGACAATCGGAACAGTCAACTTTTATTGAACTATGCAGCACCTACTGACATTCCTGACATATTAATCAAGGAGGGTGCGATTCAAATTGAAGCTGATGCAGTGGCGCTTACATTTTTAGCTGTAAATGTCGACTGCATTTTAAAGGGGAACCAAGAACAATACACATTGAACAGTTGCAATACAAATGCTATGAGTGTATTTCTAAAAGTGGGAATCATATTTTACTCTTCTCAGGCATCAAGCTTTTTTTTAATGTAGAAGAAATCAGATGAGTCAAATGAGGAAAAGGCAGAGTGCTAAACAAAACAAAAATTGTGTTGGTTTTTATTTAACCTTATTTATGCAGAAAGTTTAGCTTTTGAGCTAGAATATCAAAATGAGGTATTCCCCGGAAGTGGACATTCTGCAAGATTAGGAGGATGATATTTCTTGTAGAACTTTAACATAGTATATAGCAGTGTTTTTCATTCTTTTTTGAGCCAAGGCACATTTCTTTCACTGAAAAATTCCGTACCTGAAAATGTGAAAAACGCTTATTTGAACAATTATGTGTTACTATAAGCGTTTTTTTTTTTTTTTTGCATTGAAAATTAACGCAATATTATAACACATTGAATAGGAATCAAATCAACATCAATCCAATATTTGGTGCATTCGTTTTAATGGCAAGTAAAATATAGGCAATTCGAACTTTTAACTTGCTCAGGGTCGGATTTTTTTCTCTGTGACAGCCGGTTCTTTTTCTACCCGTCGTTTGCGCTCTCCTGCAATATTGTACCAATCCCTTTTCCCATCTTGAGTCGTTGTATATTTGCAACATCATTCAAATGACTTTTCTGCTGAATGTGTCGCTTGAGGTAGTGCAGCTTCCATTTAGTCCGTATTTTTCCATCGGAAAATTTGCTTACAGCTGACGCTTTGCTGCATGTTTTGCAGAATAGACCTTTCTCACTCGAAAAAGAAAATATCTCACCCAGTTTCACTGCTTGTTCTTCTATTTGCACATACTCCGACAGAAGTTCCAACTAAAAAGAACTGCAGTTCATTCTTATTTTGGTTTGGGGAGTCGACATATCACGTTCACCGCCCGGTCGTTTTGCCTTGATAAAGATTAACATGAGCGTCACTTATCACCGCCGCACTGTTATAGATCAGTTTCATGTGACGTATGCATACATTAAGTCTGGCTGCGCGCACATCTTGGAGGCAGAAAACACACGCTTATGAGTCGTAATAGTCTCATGCCGTGGGTTGTCAGAATGGAAAGAGCACACACAGAGATCTAGTCTTTTATAGAATTCCTGCTGCTAAACACCCCTTTCAGAAAAAAACGGCAAAAATTATGGTGACAAGCTTGACGACGTGAGAATGCAACGCGCCCAGTGCGGCAACGCAAGCGATCCCGGAGAAGCCGGCGGGTGCCCTGGGGAGAGTTCTCTTTTCTCGGTGAAGGGCAGGTCACCCTGGAATGGGTTCGCCCTGAGAGAGGGACCCGGTGAGCCCCCGTCGGCCCTTGAAAATCCCGGGGAGAAGGTGTAAATCTCGCGCCTGGCCGTACCCATATCTGCAGCAGGTCTCCAAGGTGAAGAGCCTCTGGCATGTTAGAACAAGGTGGGCAAGGTAAGTCGGCAAATCAGATCTGTAACTTCGGGACAAGGATTGGTTCTAAGGGCTGGGTCGGTCGGGCTGGGAGGGGGC